TTTTTCATATTTATATTAAAACTCTTTTACAGATGAAGAAAAAAGCACAAGAGAACAAAAAGAAAGATATATCTCTACTGGAGGCCAAAATATCAGCGCCCCCTACTGTCCAGGAGCAGGGGGCAACAAAACCCTGGGCCAAAAGAGTGAGACAAGAGATCTGCGCTTTCCTCATTCTCTCAAATATCATGGTACTGCTGTGTTTTATGAACCTGTTTTGAAAGAATATTTAAAAATGTTCAGTATTTGAATAACACGGAGATGTTCCCTCTTCTTCAGCTGTGGCTGATTCCTGCATTTGGAGTCCACCCGCAGTTCGAGAACGGCCTGGGAAAAGAGTTCTTCGGCTTCACCGCTTGGTTTATTATGATGAATTTGGGTCAGCCGCTCGGCGTCTTCTACAGGATGCACTCGGTGGCAGCTTTAACGGAGCTGCTCATCTCTGCATGACTCCATCCCCGTTAGACTACACGAAGCAAAAGCCGGATTACTGAATACACAAACCAACTCAAGAACAAGCTCGCCCCTCGTCATAGAACTTCATGTCGTTTAAAATATGGAGATGACAGCACCTCGCAGCACCTCGCGGTCTTCTGGTCTGTGTGTCCTGATTTTAAGTTTTTAAAAAAGCATTTTTAAAGTTTTAGGCAGATATATTGGTAGAGCAGCAGATTCAGGACCCCGGGGTCTCTGATGAGAGTATTTTAAAGACTTTTACCTTCCTGTCGTCACACATCGGAGCAACAAGCACTCATATTTTTGGCAAAATAAATAAATGTCCTACAAAACTGCCAGATATTGTCATTTTTCCTTTAATTGGACACATTTACACATTCTTCATCTTTACATTACTTGGCATCAAGAATGAGCCGTCCTGATTTTTAATAACAGTTCAGGTGTGAGGAAGATAAACCAGCAGCTCCTCTAAATCCTCTGGATCTCAAACAGCCTGATGTCGGTGTCGTACCAGATCGGAGGGTCAACATTACTGCGGGAAGAAGAAAAACCAAAACGCTAACAGAGGAGTCCACTGAACACATCCCGAAGAATAGAGGCAGGTTTATTTACCGTAAGTAGATGACGCCCCAGATGTATGTGCGGAACCACATGGCCGTGCCGGCGTTGGCTTGGTACTTCCTGATGAGGATGGGGTGGGGGACGGGTAGGAGACCCACGAGCGTGCCGTGCTGCAGGAACTTGAGGATTTCCGACTCGTCGGTCAGACCCCTGAGGACGACAATAAACGGCGAGATGCTGAGAATAAATCTGACGTCTAAATGTAAAGAATCAATAGTAACTTTTATGTGATAAATCTGTAAAAAGTGCTACTGTTTCAATTTAAGAACATGTTTAATAAACTCATTTATGTGGAGCATCAAAGTGAACCTGATATGCAAAAATAACTGTTTTCAATCAGAAGTGCAACAAATTTCATTTCTTCAAAGAAAAGTGGATGTTTGTTGTATTAAACGTCATACAGACACATAAATGAGGTCATTTATGTTTAATTTATGTTTTCAGAGATCAAATATAGAAGTGAAGCTTACAGAAAGCTTCACGATTCAATAATTACCTCGATGAAGGAGGTTGTGTTTGTAGGTGTGTGTCTGTAAACACGATGGCTCAAAAAGTTCTGAATGAATTCTGTTAAAACTGTAGACGAGCTCATGTTAATCTATTCTAATAACATTCCAGGTCACAGGCAATAACTTTGCATTAAGACAGTTTTGGTTCATCTCTTCCAACCCTGCCTGGTGCTGCTCATTAACGAATACAGGTGTTCATTAGTTATCACATAATGCATCGCTTAGTTTAAAATCTGAGGGATTTCCTACTTGTCGATGCAAATCTTCTCCACCTGAGGAACCAGGACTTGCAGCAACCTCATGATCGTCTGCAGGGGAAGTTTGGCCTTCCACGAGGAGACCTAAATGATGGAG